ACTTTTTGACCATCAGTTTGTCATGTCAGAGTTGCAACATGGCTGCTCCAGCTCCAGCTATCACATTCTTGAACAACTGTGTTAATGCAAGAGGCGCTCCTTAAGTATTTTCTGCTTTTATCAGGAAATAAAATCTTTACCCCAAAATTCCCCACATACTTTCTTTTAGCTCATTAATGAAAGCAGGTGACATGTCCTTAGAATTAGATTTCTGTAACTTACTTACTTCAGGCATAACTATCGCTCAGTGCTGGGGGAGGGGCTTATCTTCTTTAAGGTAGAGATTTCCATTCAGTCCCTGAACAAACTCAAGTGTTCAGCTAACTGGGGAGAAAAGAAAGGAAGATACTGACTGTCCAGGAGGCAAGGAACAGTACCTGTAGTAGGAAGTCTATGTAGTCATTGAAAAGAATGGGGTATACCTAATTATCATGGATATGTGTACCCCATAAATACCACTATGAAGGGAGAAATAAACCTTTAACAACACAAACTCCTTGGCCGCCTCAATGGAAAAATCATTAACCATCACTGACTAAATCCATGAGTATACTCATCCTGGAGGAAGCTGCATAGAATTGGGTATGTGAAAAGCCATTCCATCACATATCAACACATGCAGGTCAGGACCTCTTATGGTTTGATATTTGAAGAGGTATTTAACCCTCTGTGGCATACACATGGGATGTCTGTCCCAGTCAGCAGCCTGTGGGTCTGTTTCAGTTACTGAATGTTAAGCACCTGTTTCTTGAGGTGTCTCCTGGGGCCCCCAAGTAACTTGTGTATGTAAGACATAGCCAATATTTTGTCAGATCGTGACAGGTGGGGGACGAATTTTCACCAAATGTAGAGAGTACATCAGTCACAATGATGTAGTAAAAAAGCAAAAGAAAACAAACAGGCAGCTATATAATGAGTGAGAAGTCATGAGTGTCTGGGGAGATACCAGAGTGTTAACGTTGATCACCCTCAGGGACTGGGATTTGGAGAGGAAAGGGAATGGAGACTTTCCCTTTTATTTTATAAGTCCTATATTTTAAAATATTTTTCATAAGGAACACTTATTACCTTGGTAATTTGGAACAAAAGTATGTTAGGTGGCCTGGGCCCAACTCCAGGCCTATTAAATCAGAATATGAAGGGGTCAGGTCTGGGCAAGTATATTTATTAAAATCCACAGAGATGATTCTGATACACAGCCACATTTGAGAACCACAGTTACATTTTCTATCTCAAGAAATGTTTCGTTTTGAGGACAAATTGTTTGTATACTTTTTGTAACAAAGCTGATATTTTGGGGGAGGAAAAAAAACAAACAGTGCATGAAAATCCAAAAGTGGTAGGTTGGATGTACATAATTAATGGCACGTTGCATGTTGGCATCCTGTCATATCCAGTACCTCACATTTGATGTTTCAGTTGCTATTTTGAGGGAGTTATTCAAGCACCATTGCTGAGACATAGAATCCTGTGAAGCTTCTCTGTAGGAAATAGATAAAGCTTTCCTTTATTCAGAATATGTATCTATAGTTTTTAAATTTTGTCTTTTTGAAATTTTTACACTTTATTTTCCAAAAAACAAGTATTTTAAGTGGTAAAAGTCAGAAGGTAGCACTTACTATTCATGCAGTTTGACCTTTAAAATTGTTTGCAAATTATCTGGTACCTGTTGATCAGTACAACATATTATATAATTCATGTTTAAACTGCTGTGGTAAGAATTTTTAAAATGAGGATTAAAATTTTTTTTCTGAAGGAAGGATTCTTTTTGGTTTATTTAAAAATCAACAAAATATTTTGCATTAAAATTATAACATGTAGAAATTAATACCATATACTACATAATTTGAATATGTAATTTGAAGCAGCTACTGTTTCTCATTCATTTATTTAACAGATGTCTTTGTATAATTCTGTTATAAACATATTGATCAGAGTTGTCCAAATTAATGTAAAATCTCTTTGTTCTCTTTTATTTTGAATTAATGAAGTTTTATGTTAACATATTTTCATAAAGTGTACTACACTCAGCTGTTAAACATTAGTTCATTTTACATTGCTTTGCTCATTATTTGTCTTTTAAAGTGCCATGTAATTTTCATGCTGAATAAAGGCTGTCAATTTAATGCAATTGTACAAATTTACTTATAAAAAGAGCAAAATGTTTTGATGCTGCATTGCATGATGAAGGCTTTCTGCATATAATTCATGTTACTGTCTTGAGCATGAATCCAAAGATTTTAGATAGCTTTAATATTATTTTGGTGTGCTTTCAAAGTTTATATAAAATGTCTTAAGTATATTTAAATACTAAATTGCATGATAATGTCTTTTTGCACATACTTTACATTTTCTTGAGTATAGATACAAACATTAATCATATATCCTAAAATGAAAAAATGTTGCATTGGAGTTTTTTCAAGGTAAAGTATATTATAATGTAAAATATATTTTATTTAAGCTAGAGAGGTTTGAAAGTGTGCTAGACTTTAAATGTATAACTATTACATTACTGTGGTACTAAATGCATTTTAAATGTTATATTTCTTCATAAATTTCATCCTTAAATATTTTAAATGTGAGTCAAATTGTAGTCAAATTAACATAGGAGCTCTCTTTTTAATGTGGTGAACTTTTGAAGTAGATATTGCAGAAAATAAGATACACTGCTATGAGCTGATTAGCTTCCCACTAACCAAAGTGCACAATTAATTGGAGGACAGGCTCCAGGGCCATTGTCCACCCATATGGCGCCTGTGTGCAAATCCCATGCCCATTCCTTTTGGGTGCACACAGATGCATACCAGGGCACACGGCTTGGGAAGCAGTTGGTTGGCTGGGTGGATTTGAGTCCTCACTTGGCCAAGGGCCAAGTAATAGCTTTGACTGTCAATCATTTTTGACATGTAATAGAGCATATATATATAGGAATGTGAGGAAATGACTAACAAGTTGTCACCAGAGACAAGGCAGTTAGTCACATGGGTCCCTATGCTAGGCCTGAGACTAGAGCTGAACTGGGGAAGAGAGTGGGTAGGCTGCTTCTCTACTTGAGAACCAGCTGGCTGGGAAGAAAATGACTCTACTAGCTACATACCAGTGTTCACAAGCACACATTTTGGTTCCTTTTGTGATTTATTTTTTCTTTCTGGGTTGTCCTTAATATTCATTTCATCCTAATTTTCTTTGCATAAAATGGTGAGAAGTCACGTGGTATAATTTGCCTTGGTCTTCCTAAGTGACAAGTATGGCCTTAGCTGTTGCTGTGACATTCCCCTGCCATTTTCACACTTGCAGGGTTTATTCCAGTTGTAAAGTATGGTGCCACTGCCATTTAGAGGGGTAGGCACTGCCTGGAGTGAGTGCTGCGGCTCCTGGGCTCCTATTTCACAGGGAAATAACTTAGGTCTGTGTAGAAATCAGTAAGTAGAATTCAGATAAATTTCACTAGGTAGAGCCACTTCTTTGGAAACACATTAAGACAGATTGCACGTCTGTGTCAGCTCTATCATTTCTCACCAGGGCTTGACTGGCTCTGTAAAGGCATGTGTGACCTTTACAACTCATCCTGATTTAGAACTTTGTCCCAAACCCTTCCCGACAGCTAGTTATCGAGCCTAAGCTCACTAGCCTGTGACTGCTTCCTGCCACTTGCCTCTGACCTTTTCCTGTCTTCCGTTCCTCCTTTCTTTTTTTCTTTATTATTTTGCATCTCTGGTGACTCTTCACCCTTTCTCGTTCTTTCCCAGTACCTTCCTTTGTGATACATGTGAGGCAGTCTGTATCTGCCCTTCATCACTCCAATGAAAGTCTTTTCCCATTTACAAAACTCCCTGTAAAGTTTCCTCTTTCCATTGGATTTATTGGCCATAGAAACAGTTGTGCTTGTATATGAACACATACAGCCTTAAATTACTTAATGGAATTCATTTGACAACTTTTTATCTTGTTTCCCTAAGTTTCCCCTTAGATTCAGACTTCTGTTAAGAATATGGTTATCGAGTTTCAAGTTACAGTTTCCTGTATATGAAAAGAGAAGTAGATTAAACTAAATTGTCTCATCAAGCACACATGTGAACATATGGATGTATACTCATACATATATTTACATGTGTTTTGTGCTTTTATTCTTTAAAAGAACTTAAGTATCTTAAAACAGAAGCAATGCAGACATACTAAGGGCGATGTTGCATTTTCAAAAGGAGTGACAAATTAGTTTTCCATAGTGAAATAAAAGCACCTGCCATTATTTTAAGACTATAACTAGAGAATTGTGATTTTTAAACAGCTTGAAGGTTTGCAAGTCTTTGATTGCAAGTCTTGGAATTAAATCAAAATTTTTTTAAAAAATCTTTTTTTCACACAAGGATTCTAAATTATGAACTGATAACTCTTTTATGAAGATTAGCTATTTAATCCTCAAATAATCTTTTTTTTTTTATCGAGTGCTTCCTACATGACAGGAGCTGTTCTAAGTGAATTCTGTGTAACACACTTCATTCTCACTCAAGCCAGGTGAGGTGTTGATACTAGCAGGTGGCAGAGCTAGTATTTTAATCTGGAGGCCACCACAGCCTTAACTACTCAACTTTAACTGCCTCACAAATAAGCGGTTTAATTTTTCACACTATCTCGTTGAAGTGACTATAACCTACTAAATATGTTAGTTGACTTCTGTTTTTATTTCATATTACAGATACTTATTGCAATACAACATAAGTATTCATTGTATTTCTAAATGTGGGCTGCAGTGTTCTTTAGAGTCTGCAAACAAAACCACTTAAACAGTCTATTTCTAGGCTAACAACTGAAAACAGAATTAAAAGTGATACCTAAAGGTTTAGATATCTATGATATATTGTAAACATTTTCAGTGGATACTTTCATAAGACAGTTGTTTTACTATAGTTAATATCTTTGGAACGCTTTTTCCCTTAGACTGGCACTCTGTGAAATATGCCTTGTGTTTATTCTCCATTATGTATCATTCTGTGGCACAGATTTCCTTGCTGAAGCAGAACCTGGAGATGCAGCTTTCCCAGTCTCAGACTTCTTTGCAGCAGCTGCAAGCCCAGTTCACACAAGAACGACAACGACTTACACAAGAGCTTGAAGAATTAGAGGAACAACATCAACAGAGACATAAATCTTTAAAAGAAGCACATGTCCTTGCATTTCAAACTATGGAAGAAGAAAAGGAAAAGGAACAAAGAGTAAGTTTAATGTGACGTTTATTCAAATGTAACCCAACAGCCTAATAATAATTAGTCTTCAAATTCTTTAGAATTCATTTTTTGGCTCCAAAAAATTATGCATGGCTTTATTTTAATGTGTTTTCTAGGATATTACTTTGTGGTCACAGTGTTTAAACATATACACTAGTACACACCATAGGAGACAAGTTAGACTAGGGCCAACATTTTATTTTATTTTATTTATGGTAGGAATGCACTTTTTTAGTTTTTCTTGTCTGAGAAGCTCTTTATCTGTCCTTCAATTTTATTTTAGTTTTTTTTAATTTTTATTTTTTATTTTTTTTTAAGATTTTATTGGGGGAATTGGGGGAGGGGAACAGTGTTGGGGATTTGAGGAAGGGGAACAGCCAAGTTGTTGTCCTTCAATCTTAGTTGTGGAGGGTGCAGCTAACTCAGCTCCAAGTCCAGTCGCCATCTGGCCGCCTGTCAGCAGTTCGTAGCGACTCAGCTCAAGGTGCCGTGTTCAATCTTAGCTGAGGGTGAGCGTAGCCCACCGTCCCATGTGGAAATCAAACCAGCAATCTTGTAGTTAGGAGTACATGCTCTCACCAGCTGAGCCATCCTGCCACCTGTTGACAGCTCAGTGGCAGCTCAGCTTGGGCACAGCTCACTGGCCCATGTGGTAATTGAACTGGCGACCCTGTTGCTCAGAGCTCACGCTCTTAACCAACTGAGCCACTCAGCCAGCCCTAGGGCCAACATTTTAAATCTTTCCCATCATAATGCCAAGTTCATCATGAGACTAATATGTCATCTGGTTTACATGTAGTTAATAGTGATTAAATAAATTTAGCGTGGTCTTACTGAGCTGTAACCACTATAGTCACTTAATACTGCCTTGAACTTATAATACTGTCTTTCATCATATTTTTAATTATTCTTTTCAGGCTCGACCTATAAAAGATACATGGATCCAAAGAATTTGCATATTTTTTAACCCAGATTATTTTTTCTCACACTTTTTTTCTTATGTATAACATTTACAATCAAAGGAAGTCGGGGACATTTTTAAATAGTGCAGTCCCCCACATAGAGCACCAAAGGCTATATGAAAAGTAGTGATACAAGCAAATCACTCAGAAGAGATCATAGATACATTGGATTAATCATATTATATGTCAGAATCTCCCCAGATCCATTACTCAGTTCTATGTTAAAATGTTAGTTTGCCATAGTCTTAGTGTGATGAATTTTGGTATAGTTCATTTCTTTACACTGTATTTTTCAATTTCTCCTAAGGTAATTAAGATAAAGATTGATAGAAAAATATAGTTTTACTAACAATAATTTTCAACATATGTAGTCATTACAGATATAGGTTGTCTCTTAATTCTTTATTTGGGTGCAGGCACTGTTTTAAGAAGTGGCATGTTATAAAGAAATTAAAACAAGAAAGTCCTATCCTTTTAAAAACAGTTAACTTGCCTATACATAAGTTGAAGTCTATTGATTGGTCAGGGAACCCCTTTGGTTAAAAGTTATGCTTGATTGGGCCGGCCGAGTGGCACGATGGTTAAGAACTGGCTTGGGACGCCAGAGGGCCCCGGTTCGGATGCCACATATGAGGGCCAGTGACACTGCCCTCTACAGCTAAGATGCTGAACAACAGCTCAACCTGGAACTGGGCTGCTGTGAGTCGCCGGCTGCAGCCCCTGTGGCAGTGGGTTGCCATGGGCTACCGTGTGTAGCCAGCAGCCAGCGTGAGCAGCCAGCAGCTGCAGTGAGCAGCCATCCAGAAGCCGGCAACTGATCTGCCTCGCCCAGGAAGAGCGCAATGATGGTGCCAACTTGGGCCAGTGAAGCAACGTCCTCCACAACTAGACTGAAGAACAAAACGACAGCAACTTGACTGTTCCATTCCCCAGCGCTGTTCCCATCTCCCCAATTCCCCAATAAAAATCTTTAAAAAAAACAAAAGTTAGGCCTCATTGCATTGCTAAATCATGTATTCATTGGCTACCATTTGTGAATTATAAAAACGTATAAGCTCTCATATCACATTTAGTCTTTTGAAAACTTGAATCATTTTTTAAAAGAAATCAGAATCTGCAATTTTATTGTGTGTAGCCAATTTATTAGGTAGCCAAGCTACCTAAGTAATGTTGTCTAAACTAAAAATCCTTTTACCTATATTCAAAGAAATTATGCTTTATTTTTCAGAAATAAAACACTTTTAAAACAGTGAACATAAGTAACCAAATACTAATTTTTAAAAACAGCATTTTAGAGTGATTAAAGAAATGCATCCCTAGTTACAATATGGCACCTTTCTCAGAAACCTTTCATGTTATAGATTACAATAAGAAAACCCTTCCTGGCACAATTCAGTCTCCAAACCTGAAGTACCTGGAGCTCTATTTTTTCCCTCCTGTGGCCCTATTTCTTCTTAGTCTTAGCCACATGCAGTGTGGCCTCTGACTAGCTTCTGACTAGGCTTTCCAAACTAATCCCGCGAAAGGCTTTAGCTTACTTTTGCAGCTACCACCTCTCAGAGCATTTGCTTCTGTTCATAAAGCAGGAGCTAAGAATGATTGTAGAAATATCTGCAAAAGATAAGGGTGGAGATGTGAAAGCCCTCACCTCATTTTTCCTAATCAGGAGGAGACCTTTTCATGTTAGTGCCTTCCTCCTCTCTTTCCTAAGTCTTTGTTTGTACACACAGAGGAATTATTCATTAATTTTAGGTGGTTTACACCCCTTGGCAGCTTTAGAAAATGACTATTTGAAAACTGCCTTAGGTCAAGGGTCCATATCCCATTTGAAACACAATACATTGAGTCAAACTGGTTTCACGATGATTAGTTTAGTGTTCTGAAGTGACCCTACTAATTTATTTTCTAATGGTGATTATCTTATATCTAATTTTCTTGTAAATGAATTTAAAATCCCATGTTTTCTTAAATAATAACAGTTTTAGTAATTATTTTCTATTTTGTTTGTATTTTCCTTCCTGTACTTTAACATAATAATCTGAATGTTTCTCCTTTTCTAGGCTCTTGAAAACCATTTACAACAAAAGCATTCTGCAGAGCTTCAGTCATTAAAAGATGCACACAGAGAGTCATTGGAGGGCTTCCGGATAGAAATGGAACAGGAACTTCAGACTCTTCGGTTTGAATTAGAAGATGAAGGAAAGGCTATGCTTGGTATTTTGTGTGGATTGTAATCTTATCATATTTATTCATACATTCTTCTACTTTAAAATTTAACATCAAATCACTACATTTTATTTTTAATTTTTAAAACAATATCTAAGTATTCTGCATATTGTATTTGAAGCTACCATATGAAGAGGCGAGTATGGTGGAATAGATCGGATAGAATGCAAACAGTAAAAAAGTGAGGTTCCCCTCAACTTTGTCCGTACTCCAGCTCTGTAAGCAACACTCACTGGTGCTTCCATCTGTCATTAACGGACTGAACAGAATGAGGCCATTTAGGCTTCACACTATCCAGTGACTGAAAGGGGGAGATAGGAATGGAGCCACAAGCCCTTAGACTAAATAGTCATATTGGCTTTTTCCACTTAAGGAGTTTGTTTTAATGAAAAAAGTCATGTTTAGGTCCGATTTTTTGTTTAGGTACTTTTCACATTTTTTTTT